TAGCATCCCGCAAGTAACAATGCAAAAATGGTGCTGTCTTCATGGGGACTCCATGTGAGAATCAGGGTGGGTCCCAAGAGGCAGAGGGGACAGGTTGTTGGCATCGTCACTCACAACCCAACAGAACTGCTCCCTCACACAAAGCAACCCCTGAGGTCTTTAAAGCACACAAGTGACTGAACATAGAGGGAAACTTTCCTGAAGTGGAAAATTTTACAGGTGAGAGGAAAAGGTAGCACTTTCTCCTTTGGTAATGCAGATGCCCTGCTCTGTATTTATATGCATGATCTCAGCACTTCTGTAGCAAGTAAACTTAATTTTTTATTCAAAAACCCCAAGCTGCCCATAAAAACAAAAATCCAGAAATATACCATTAGTTTTTGTAAATGGATAACAGTGACAGCGTGCCACTGGGTTCCAAGGAAGCAGTTTTCAAATTAAGCAGCTACTGTCAGTAAATTCTAGAATAGGGGGCAATACATGAGAACACCAGGCCTAGATTAATGACAAAGGATTTTAATCAGACACCCAGCTACACTCAGAAATCAAACTTCCACTTTATCCCTAGAAGCACTTCTAGACACACATTATTGTCTTTAGAAAAAGGGCAAAAACTACAGCAGACAGAGATGAGTGAGGACTGAAAAGCTAGCACGGAAGGAATAGCATCTCAGGCTACACCCTAGCTCTGTGAGTCCCAGCAAGCAGAGTGCCAGAGACCCTCACTCCACGCCTGCCCCATTTAAATTAGTCCCTCATCACTTAGAGCCAGCACCGCACCTCATGAGAAATGCAGTGGTCATGCAACCATATTGGCTTTCTGGAAAGCATGTGGCTCTTTCCAAAGGATAAGTTGTCTCCTGAGCACCACCAGCAACAGGCACAGTTAGTGTGGCTCACAGTCAGACTTTTTGTGTCAAATGAGCTTTACACAACAGGGAATATACTGTGTATTTTATATCCCATTTAAAAACACCCAGTGTTACTTAGCAATCATTTTACAACTATGAGAAACACTTTCAATTGCTGTATGATATTAACTCAAGAGAACATGTCATAATATATGTCACGATTTTCCTACTGGAGCATTAGGGTTCTTCAAATGTAAAAAAAAAAAAAAATTTTTTTTTTTGAGACAGGGTCCCACTATGTAGTTCAGACTAGCCTTAAACTCACCATGGAGCCCAGGCTGGCCTTGAACTTGTGGCAGCCCTCCTGCCTCATCCTCCAGAGGATTACAGGTGTGCCACCATACCCAGGATTCCTATATAAATTCATAATGATTATATGATGACATAATGAGTATTTGTTTGCCTCTCTGTATTGTAAGCCTTCATGCTTGCTTTCAGCAGGATGATGTGCAGTGGGTAGTATCTTCAGCATTTGTCCCACCAGTGAATGGAATATCCTCCGATTCATGCTCAAGCCAGCCTCATCCACAAACCAATCCTGATTCTCCCATAAGTCGTACTTAGTAGCCTAACTTACCTGAGATTTTCCTATAGCGATTTTTGATAAGCCCTTGGCAGAGAAAAGACAAACAGTTTTTTGGGCACTATGTCCTAGGCACATTCAACCCCAGCAGGCCATTTGGCCGACATGTGGGCCAGAAGCACCTGCTGCAGGCTGCACCAGGGATTGTCCTGAGCTCCTCAGTTCCCTTGGCACGCAGAGCTGGAGTGGGTCCCCCACCATCGCTGTCCCAGACCAAGGTGCCAGACCTCAGCAGACCCTCTGCAGTGACTGCCCCAGGCAAGGACTCTTAGACCTGTGACCTCAAATGTACAGGGAAACCTGGAATTAAAGAATGACCTCTTGTGGGTCTCCAGACAGATTACTGACCACACAAAAATAACCTTTCTTGCATGCAGCTTCAAGGGAATCAAATCATCTCGAAAGCATCAAACAGAAATTTACTCTCATTTCTACACCTTTGTGTTTCTATGGGTGGGAGAAACAGCAACCAGAATCACTGGGGAAATGGCTGTCAATCTAAATATAATTACATAAGCAGAGGGGCAAAGAAGTGGGGAGTAGGAGGTCTGGCAGGGCTTTCTGAGATTACTTTGCTCTAGTGAGTTTGCATTGCAGTAGTGACTGTAGTTACCATATATCTTTCTCAGCAAGCATAGCTATACAATTAATCCATCAATGTCTATTTTTTACACTGAGGGACATTTTTTACCCTCAGGATGATGTCAACTGCAGGTGCTGGAGGAAGGAGAAGAAAGTGTTCAAAGATGTTCATAAGGCCACTGAGAGGCAATCAGACAAATGTCTACTATCTAGAATATACACAGAACTTAAAAAAACTCAGACCTCCCAAATTTAAAGCTCCAATCCAAACATGGGCATAGGAAATGACAGACATTTCTCAGACAAACAAGTATAAATTGCACATAAACATGAAAAAATATTCAATATCACTGGTCATTCAAAAAATACAAATGAAAACAACATTGAGATTCCACCTCACCCCTGACAGAATGGCTGCTATCAAGAAATCTACCAATAACGAATTCTGGTGTCGTTGTGGGGAGAAATGAACGCTTCTTCATTATTAGTGGGAGGTGAGACTGCTGCAACAACTGTGGAAATCAATGTGAAGTTACCTCAAATGAGTAGAATTCAAACTTCCATGTGACGCAGCGGTTCCCCTGCTGATATCTTACCAAAAGAATTAAAATAATCATACCACAGAGATATATGATCACCCATGTTTATAGCAGCACAGTTTGTAATAGCTGAAACTTGGAAACAGCCCAATTGCCCATCAAAAGTAGACAGGATAAAGAAGTTGTGCAGGTGTGTTTTTTAAAAATACAATGGAGTAATACTCAGCCATAAAAAATGAAAAGCTAGAGACATTTATAACTAAATTTATGCACATTGAGGCCATATTCTTAAGTTAAATTAATAGGACACACATGTAAATACTAAATAGTTTCTCTGATGTGAAAAACCAAAAGTGTAAATAAGGACCAAAATGTATAATTGATATTGTGTAATAGGAAGAAGAGGTATAAAGGAGTAGGGGAAATGGGAGGGATGGGGGAAATGTAAGAAGGTGAAATAAAAGTATGAGAAAAGGAAAAAAAACTAGAAAAACATCTTTGTGAATAGGGAAGTGTGGAGGGTGTGAAGGGAGGGCAGGGGAATGGGGAAAAATAAGAACCAAGATACTTCATGTAATGGTACAGGATCCCAATGATGAATGTAATTGTACTGTGTACCTAAAATGTACCAATAAACTTAGTGTGGGGGGAACCATCCCAGGAATACAGACTTTTAGTTCCTACCACCTCCCAGCAACACTATGCTGGGATTCAATTGATGAGTGGTAGTCCCGTGAGAGGTCCAGGTGAATTGCTCCCCACCCCCACTTTGAGGCTGCCAGACAAGAAAATGGGGTGCAATGACAGTATGAGCATCTTCTGGCCCAGAAATGGATTGGGCAGCAGGGTGGGGAAGGTGATATCTCTGTCGTTCTAAGGGTCTTGTTTCCATGACAGCATTGTTTATCTGTTTGGGGTCATTAAAAATATATGGAAATAATCAGATATGTTGGATCACTGCTGAAATCCCAGCTATCTGGGAGACTGAGGAAAATTTAAGGCCAGAAAGCAGGAGTCACTGGTTTTAATCCATAGCATCATGAAAACAAACCAATACAAAATAATAGATTCAAATAGATTCAATAGATTCAAATTTAACTCCACCAGACCTACATGGGAGAGGAAATAGCTGAGTATGCCTGAGTGGGGAAATCACAGTCATCAGGTGGTCAGGTGTCCAGAGCTAGAGCTGGTTGACCTTGTCTCTTTCCTTTGTCAGGTAGCCCTGGAGCTGGGGCTGGGTGGGGCAGGGCTTGGGCCCAGTAGAGGCCAGGACACCTCCCTGCCCTGCCCAGTGGGGGAGCCACCTCAGCTGGGGCCTGCAGACTCTGAGAACCTGGGAAGTGTCCTGCAGAGGGAGCCATTGATTCACATATTATCCCTGAAAAGCTGAACCAAAGCAGTATTGTGCTACACCTAAAATGAAATGAAAGATTATGAAAAACAAGATGTGATAGAAGGTGTGTCAATTCCAGGACTGAAGGAGCTGGTTCTGACAGTAGGGAAAAATAATAACGTCTCCAGGACTAGGCACCAAGTCACTGGCAATATGGCAGGGCCCCAGCCAGGCACTGTCCTAGACTTCTGTCAGGCCCAGAAAAGCTCCTGTGATCTTGCAGGGTGAATGGATAACTGCAAATTTTCATTTACTTCTCACATCCACCTGATAATCCAGGTTCACGGTGAGGTAAAAGATGCTCCGAGGGACTCAGAAAGCCCCGCAAGGACTCACAACTACTAGGCAAAAGAAAGGACATTCAGATTGCTTAGCTGGGACTCTGGCATCCATCGAGTCTTCTCTCATTTTACCACCAGGAGGAGCCCTTGCTGTTTTCTACCCGACTCCACAGGTAACACAAAGCATTGGTTCTGAGGGGCAGAGGATATTTTAGCCAATAGATATTGTTAACTAGCCCTGAACTTGTCTGGGACACAGCCACACTCCAGAGTCACACTGACTTTTGCTACAAAGATACGATCGTAGTACCAGAGCCACAAAATCCAGATGCAGTTGAAACAGGCAGAGGTTAGCTGCTGAAATGCGGAGGTGGATGCTTAGGGCATAGCAACATTTGGCTCTCAGACTCTCCACCTGCTCCACTTTGCAAAAACCTGACCAAGACTCTTGTAGGACTCAGCATTCTCATTGAGTCACTACTCACTCTGTGTACTGGAACTGATATCAGACTGTAAAAGGCCCTTGGCTGAATTTAGATTCAGTTAGGGAGGAAAATACATATTAAATAAAATTTTGCGTTATGTCATTTTAAATTGTACAGTTCAGTGACATTGACTACTTTCATAATACTTTGAAACTAACACCACTAGTTTCAATTATTTTTTGATTTATCTTGTTTAATTCTGTTTATTTTTCTGGTCATTTAGATTGAAACAAGTGCCTACTACATGGAGGTCTTCAAGTAGTTGTTCTCTTTCCTCAGCCTCCCTGGTCTCTGGAATTACAGGTACCCATCCAAATCCTACATTTTCCAGAAGTTTTTTATTGCCCATAGCACAACTCTGTGCCTTTGAAGTAATGATCTCCATTCCCCCTTCCAGACCACCCCTGGAATCCTTAATTTAACTTTGAGCTCTGTGGTTTTGCCTCTTTTATACAGTTCCTATCATTGGAATCCATGGTGCCTGTCTTGTGAGTGGGCCTGCTTTTCGCAGTGCAGCTCAAGTGCAGCCAAGTTTCTGTACATTAGATCTTTCCTTCACACCACCAAAAAGCCAGAGGCACTGGCACCACACAATGGCTTTAAACATTCCTGCATGGAGGGGCAGGGGATGCCTGTAGTTCCATTAAGTGTGAAAAATGCTGTTAGAGATGTGTGAGTGTAGTTGTGTCTCTAATTCCCAGTCTTGGGAGCTGTATGCTGAAAGTGGCAATCCTGGGTCACATGACATAAACTCTTGAGGAACTGTTGAGGTGCTTTGTGCTGTGGCTGCACCATTTCACATCTCACCTACAAGCCAGCATTCTAAGCTTTAAAAAGTTTGAAATGAAGTTTTCTTCTGTCTGTAAAGAAAAACATAATACCTACACAGCTATTGCAAAGTATTGGCAAAAGGAAGAGTCACAGCATTTGATTGCCTAAAAGTAAAAAACCATTGATATTTTATCAAAATGCCTTTCCGTTTGTGTGCTAAAAACTATTTCTATTTCTTTTCCCTCATTGGGATTATTGGTATATCGTAGGTATACAGTACAGTTGCATTCATCATTGGGCTTTGTACCCACTTTCTTAGTTTCCATTGCATTGATTTCTGCTCTAATCTTTATGATTTCCTCTCTTGTATGAGCTTTGGATTTGTCCTGCTGTTCTTTCTCTAGAAGCTTGAGGGACATGTAAAATGCCCCCTTCAGTATTTATATGTCCAAATCTTATATCCTTGTCCTACTATGGCTCATTGAGAAAGTCATCCCACATTTCTGGAGATAGGATAGTTACCTTAGTCAAAAATCTCTTTAAATACAAAGAAAATGTAGCAATAAGTACAGAGATACTGGTATAAATTGAACTTGTTATCCAAAAATATTTGTGTAGTTTCAGTTAGCTTTTCATTGCTGCGACAAAATACCTAAGAAAATCAACTTATAAGGAGGCAAGTTTAAATTTAGCTTATAGTCACTCCTTTGTCACTTGGCTCTGTTGCTTAGACCTGTGACAGCTTCTCATGGCAGGAGTGCATGGGTGAGGAAGCCTATTCCTACTGGCCAGGAAGCAAAGATAGAGACAGGAAGGGTGAGGATTCCAAAGTCCCCTCCAAGGGCACACACTCAATGACCTCAGTTACTTCCACCTCTTAAAGCTTCCACCACCTCCTGGAGTGCCACAGGCTGCTGACCAAACTTTTGACACATAGACCTTTGGGGCACACTTCTAAACAATAGCAGAATCATCCAGAGGTATTGATAGCAGTTAAAATACTTCAGAAAATTTAGCATGTTGTAAATTTGCCAGAGTGAACTTGTGATTCATACTTAAAATGTATAGGTAAGTATTTGACACGTGCTGTTAGGTTGAAAGGTATTGGAACATTTGCACAAATATGTATTATAAATTGTACTATGGTGGTTAAGATAATTTTTATTGCACCATATTTATGCATTTGTTACTTTTAGAAAAGTTTCCTTAAGTCCTTAGGTTGGCTTTGTCAGACAAATGATAGAAATAATACATATTAGAATTATAACTGCAATTTTAAATATTGAAGAAAACATAACTAAGTTTTACAATGGCTCTAAATATTAACCTGAAGCATAAAAGTAACTATAAATTTTTGCATGAAACATATTTGTATACTTATAGATTATACTATAGCAGTGAAATTTTTGAGTTGCATTTATAAACCTATGGTATTACAATTTATAACATTAATTTTTAAATCTTTAAACTTTAAATGTTCACTTTGAAAATGTGGATCCCTGTAAATTGTGATTTCTGTATACAAAAGCCGTTCTTATAAGCAAAAACTAAAACCACCAAAAAATAGCACAATGACATTAATATTGATATAAATTTTTCTATGGGTTTGGGACTTCGGAAAATATTTCTCCATGGTCAATGCAGAATGCAGTCTGTGTCTACACAAAGGAAAAAGGGCCCTTGCTATGGCTAACCAAGCTTTCTAAAAGAGGGACAAGTGACCTGGGATCCCCTACTGTCAGCCATGAAAACACGTTATCCTTCAACAGAAACTAATTCCATGCTTTTAGATTTGATACCAACAAAACCCATGAGCCAGATAAATACAGTCTTTTACAAGGGCCAAAAGCAGAGAAGAAAAATTTGAAAAACTTACTTTGTGGCCGGGAAGGAACCACATTAGGAGGTGTGGACAAAGGAAGTGTGGTGGCTGAAGAGATGACCACAATTAAACTCTTAGCTGTGAGCCCCTTAAAAAACAAATGAAAGCTAAACACTTCCAGCATTCAGTGACACAAGATAGGTATTTTTTTTATTTTATTGAGTTTATTGGTATATTTTAGGGATACAGTACAGTTACATTCATTGTTGGGATCATGTACCTCTACATGGCAAGTCTTGATTCTCATTTTTTCCCCTTACCTCTGCCCTCCCTTCACCCCCTGCTACCCTCCCCATCTACAAACACTTTATTTTCATCTTTTCATTCTCTCACATTTTTTTCTTTTCCCTTTTTGTTCTTCCCCTACCCATCACACCTTCCCTGCACATTTAGCTCCTTTCTTCCCATTTCTAAATGTCAGTAATCTTATTAGAATCTTATGCATTGTTGCAGATTATTCACACCAGGGAAACTATTTGGTATTTACACATGAGTGACTTATTTATTTCACTTAGGAGTATATCTTCAATATGTATCCATTTTCCTATGAATGAATCTATTTAATCGTTCTTTATGGCTGAGTAATATTCCATTTTATAGAAAAACCACAACTTCTTTATCCAGTTTCCAACGGATGGGCAGATAGGCTGTTTCCAAGATTTAGCTATTACAAACTGTGCCGCTATAAACATAGGTGCACATACTTCACTGTGATATGATTCTTCCAGTTCTCTTGGCAAGAAACCCAGCAGAGGAATGGCTGGGTCAAATGGAACCTCCAGTCCAAGCTCTTTGAGTTATCTCCACATTGATTTCCATAGTGGTTGCACTAGTCTGCACTCCCACCATCAATGGAGGAGGGTTCCTTTCTCCCCACAACCCCGCCAACATTTGTTATTGTGTAATTTCTTGATAGCAGCCATTCTTTGTGGGGTGAGGTGGAATCTCAGTGTTGTTTTCATCTGCATCTCTCGAATGACCAGTGATGTGGAACATTTTTTCAAATATTTTTTTGCTGCTTTTACTTCTTTGTCTAAGAAATGTCTGTTCATTTCGGATGCCCATTTTTGAATCGGGTCTTTATATTTGGGGGGCCTGATTGTTTTGAATTCTTTACATATCCTTGATAATAGTCCTTTGATTGAGAAACAGCTGGTAAAAATTTCTTCCCACATTGTAGATTGTCTCTTAGTTCTGCTGATGGTTTCTTTTGAAGTACAGAAGCTTTTTAGTAAGATGAGATCCCAGTTGTTGATTCTATCTGCTAGTTCCCGTGCTACTGAGGATTTGTTCATAAAGTCTTTTCCTGTACCAATGTCTTCCAGAGTTCTGCCTAACTTACCTTCTAGCAAGTTTAATGTTTCTGTTTTAATATTTAGATCTTTAATCCATTTGGATTTTAATTTAGTGCATGGTGAAAGATAAGGGTCTAATTTTAATCTGTGGCAAGTTGACATCCAGTTTTTCCAACACTATTTATTAAAGAGGCTATCTTTCCTGCACTGAGGATGGTCAGCTCCTTTGTAAAAGATGAGGTAGCTGAGAACATCTGCATTTATTTTTGTGTCTTCCAGTCTGTTCCACTGATCCTCAGGCCTATTTCTTTGCCAGTACCGTGCTATTTTTATCACAGTGGCTTTGTAGTATAGTTTCAAATTGGGAATTGTTACACCTGGTGCCATGTGACTTTTGCCTATAATGGCTTTTGCTATACTAGGTGTCTTATGGTTTGAAATGAATTTTTGGATTCTTTTTTCTAGTTCTGTGAAATATAGTGCTGGAATTTCAATTGTCATTGCATTGAATGTATATAGCAGTTTTGGTAGTATGGCCATTTTCACTATGTTGATTCTTCCTACCTAGGAGCAGGAGATATCTTTCCATTTTTTTATATCATCTTCGATTTCTTTTTTCAGAGTGCTGTAGTTTTCAGTGTAGAGATCTTTTGTTTCTTTTGTTAGATTGATTCCTAGATACTTCATTTTTTTGGATGCTATTGTAAAAGGAATTTTTTCCCTTATTTCTCTTTCTGTCTGTCTGTTATTTGTGTATAGAAAGGCTATTGATTTTTGGGTATTCACCTTGTATCCAGATACTCTACTGAATCTGTCAATTAAGTCTAGAAGT